TGACATAATGGCAGTCATTCTTGTGGTGATTGTCTGCCACTCTATCGCCGATAATATCATTGATTTCGTGTCTCATTCTTAACTGCATTTCTATATTGTTTGCCATCAATAGTATAATCCATCGCATCATATACTGTGTTGTGTCGGAACCGGCTATTTATGATTGGATTAAAATTATATTATTTTAAGACTTAATGGCAATTATTGTCTAAATTCTAACCAAAGAAGAGATTCAGAATAACTAGCGATAGGTTGACATCAGTTAAGGCGGAAGCGCTCTCTTTCTCGTCAGCGATGGCCTCCTCTTTGGCTTCAATGAGCGCATCGCAGAAGTCATGGATCTCTCCCTTTGAGTGCACTTTCAGTCGATCCAAATATTTCTGTTTAACCGATGAAGACAACGATCTCACTGTTTGTAAAGTATTGTTAACTATATTAGCGTAGAATGGCTTCAGAATCGGCACTCTGTCCACCAGAAAGAGTGGATTAGTATTGGCTCTGAAGTACTCAAAGCTTTCTTCAAGAAATTTGAGTTCTTTGTCATCAAAAGAGTATCTGTTAATGAAATATCATTTTTAGAAAACTTTAATTTATGGATAGTTTTATTAATTTGTGACAAACCGTTTGCCAAAAGCCGACGACGCGATTATATTGAAGACAGACATATAGATATAGGTCTTGGGATTAAATGGTTTACCGATGCCTTCATTAGTAATCATTGTCTCAACGGTTTCATTGACCACATCGTCCACCAAATCAGACAACTTCTCACTTATCGCTAGTTTTCTAATTAAGAAAAATTATAAACTAATAATTAAAATCAAAGAGTAAAAGAAAATTTAAAAGTCATGAATACCTGACCGCCGAGTGGCCAACCCGTCTAAGACTGGCCCAAACGGGTCCGTGATCTGAGAAGACCACATCCTTTCCGTTTTGGAGCAATGCTTCACCAAAATTAGTTTTTATGCGACCCATGAGTTCATTATCTTTTGAATTAAAAGCCTTTTTAATTAAATTATAGTCAGAGATGACAACCATTGGTGACGTTCCCAACCACAGAGTAAATACCGGTCCATAGGTTTTGTGTAATTCATTGATTGTAATGAATTGATTGACTTTTGTTTTTCGAAAAACTAATGCAAATGAATTAAAATAAACAATGTCATTTTGATATAATGTTTGTGAGCTAGAAATTAAATACTTACTTAACACATTTCCTAACACTGGTAAGGGAAATGGACCTTTGGGTAGGGCCAGCACTCGTAGATAAAACCGTACCAAATATACGGTAATTAAGCCAATAATAATAGTAATCACCCAGTTGAGGGTGCTAGTATAATAGCCTAGTTCAAACATTTTAATGAATTTTAAAAACTTTTAACTATGGTTAAATAATTTAGGAAACTTTTTAAAGTTTACATTCAGTTGTGTATAATTAAATATGCCATAACATCTACTTATATACTATTATAATATAAACATTTGAATTGTAATCATATTTGTTCAGACATATCATAAGATAATAGTTCATAAATACAAGTCGACATTAGCGTAAACATAGAGTGAGTTAATATACCAGTATTCAAAACTTATTAATAATTATACTGTACTATCAAGAATTGGTGTACAGTGTTAACCAATTATCACTTTTGAGGTATAAAAGACCTTAAAATACTGAATGAATGTGGAAATAAGGTTCAATATTGATTGTTATATTTAATATTAATATCTGATAAATCAATTGCTTGTAAATATATTTATATCAACTGCTAAACTACTCTAGTACAATGTAGTTATAAATTTATATACAGTATTAGTATATTTTGCGTCATTAATACCTTAAGAACCTTAAATGATAACAAATATGATTTGATAAGACTATTATTGACTCTAGTAAAATATAAATAGTTTTTTTTAAGTAAATAGTATTTTATTTTATACTCAATTTGTACTGACATATAATAGGTTATGTAAAATAATTATGATAAATTGTTTTATATTTATTTTATAAGTTACAAGTTATGAAAATAAAATCGGGTAATTACAAAAGTCTAATTAAAATTAAATAATCGGATAATTTTTTTAAAAAACTATAAGTCATTAAATAAGTTTAAGTAAGATTATATTTCAGTATAATTTAGTGAAAAAAAACATTTATAAATCTCTTATCATTATCCTGGAATTTAATTATGTAATATGACAATCAAAATCACTCTAGGTCCTAGGTCATAGACGCACAGATATGACCGTTTGCGGTCAACTAGCGATGTATGCATTAATAGTTTAATACAATATTTACAACACTAGTATTTTATGAATCAGGAATTATACATTAATATAAATACTAACTTTTCAAATTGATATTAATTTTTATTACTCATAGCACAGTATCACTTGGGATTAAATTATGTGTCAATATTATAATATAATTACAATAAAATATTTCTAAACAAAGTGATAAATCATTGAAAGTTTACTTATTCTCTCAAATATTTTTATGATATGTTTATAATTTCTTAAATTAATGTATTAATCATTTGAATGTTATTTTGTTATTTAATAAATGTTCATATTATTACTCAAAATGAAAAACTAGTGTTTGGAATAGTTAATAAGTTTATTAATATTATACAACACTAATTTGGGGATTTAATTTTTTGTGGAGGTCTATGCTCTTGGTCATTGACCGCTATAGTTAGAACAATAATTTATGAGCATTACAATGTCAAATTTATATGGAAAGCTTAGTTTATGTATATAATAGCATTCAATTCGGTTGATCGTGGTCAATCCTCACACATGGCTTTTATTTTACATTTATATACATATGATATAATGAATATAATTACACTAGAATTAAATAAAATATTTAGTTTTATAAAGGCAAGTTTAGATAAGAATTATTATTATAATAAAAATACTAAAATTTATACAGATAATAGACTGAACAGCCGTACACTATTTTAGTGGACAGTCCACTATTTAAAGTGTTTGTCCAGTGTTTTAAAAAGAAAATAATGAATATTGAATATTGAATGTCCACTATTTGTGAATAAACCAAAAACATTGCTCACATTGCAAGTCAATAAAATACTTAAAAACATATTGAACAGTTATTTTATCGCTCATTTCATACAGAATTATATTTTATATTTCATTGTTCACAGCCTTTTGAGTATTATTTCATAGGGTTTGGGAACATTAATGACAAATATGTTAGGGTCGGGCTCTAAATCAGCCGTTCCTTCACCCGATGGCAACGCAAACACATAGTCTGGAGTAGACTTCAATAGGCGGACAGTTATGTAGAAGAGGTCCGCGAGCGCAAGCTTTTCACCCAAACATATACGCCGTCCGATTCCAAAGGGTGTGAACCCCGGGAGGGCTGACATGTATTTGTTGTCCTTATCTAAGAACCTGTTGGGGGAGAAGACATCCGGTTTGGACCATAAACTTGGATCACGTGAAACGGAAAATAGATTGCCGACAACCATTGATTTCTCTTTAATGAGGTGTTTGTCTGAAATTATCAGAAATGTGTTATAATTATATAATTTTGAATTTTTATATTTTTGAGTTCTTGTACCTAATTGATAGTCACAGAGAGCCACGTGTGGAACTCCTAATGGGAAGACCCCTTTATATCTGAGAGTCTCAGCGATGAATGCATTAACATAATGGCAGTCATTCTTGTGGTGATTGTCTGCCACTCTATCGCCGATAATATCATTGATTTCGTGTCTCATTCTTAACTGCATTTCTATATTGTTTGCCATCAATAGTATAATCCATCGCATCNTGTGGTGATTGTCTGCCACTCTATCGCCGATAATATCATTGATTTCGTGTCTCATTCTTAACTGCATTTCTATATTGTTTGCCATCAATAGTATAATCCATCGCATCATATACTGTGTTGTGTCGGAACCGGCTATTTATGATTGGATTAAAATTATATTATTTTAAGATTTAATGGCAATTATTGGCTAAAAATATTCAAACCAAAGAAGAGATTCATAATAACGTCGCTATCCAACTGTAGTCAATTCCGCCTTCGCGAGAGAAAGAGCAGTCGCTACCGGAGGAGAAACCGAAGTTACTCGCGTAGCGTCTTCAGTACCTAGAGAGGGAAACTCACGTGAAAGTCAGCTACCAAATATTTCTGTTTAACCGATGAGGACAACGATTTGACTGTTTGTAAAGTTTTATTCACTATATTGGCGTAAAATGGCTTCAGAATCGGCACTCTGTCCACCAGAAAGAGTGGATTAGTATTGGCTCTGAAGTACTCAAAGCTTTCTTCAAAAAATTTGAGTTCTTTGTCATCGAAAGAGTATCTGTTAATGAAATATCATTTTTAGAAAACTTTAATTTATGAATAGTTTAATGAATTTATAACAAACCGTTTGCCAAAAGCCGACGACGCGATTATGTTGAAGACAGACATATAGATATAGGTCTTGGGATTAAATGGTTTACCGATGCCTTCATTACTAATCATTGTCTCAACGGTTTCATTGACCACATCGTCCGCCAAATCAGACAACTTCTCACTTACCGCTAGTTTTCTAGTTTTAAAATATGTAAACTAATAATTAAAATCAAAGAGTAAAAGAAAATTTAAAAGTCATGAATACCTGACCGCCGAGTGGCCAACCCGTCTAAGACTGGCCCAAACGGGTCCGTGATCTGAGAAGACCACATCCTTTCCGTTTTGAAGCAATACTTCACCAAAACTAGTCTTTATGCGACCCATGAGTTCATTATCTTTTGAATTAAAAGCCTTTTTAATTAAATTATAGTCAGAGATGACAACCATTGGTGACGTTCCCAACCATAGAGTAAATACCGGTCCATAGGTTTTGTGTAATTCATTGATTGTAATGAATTGATTGACTTTTGTTTTTCGAAAAACTAATTGAAATGAATTAATATAAACAATGTCATTTTGATAAAATGTTTTCGGGTTTGAAATTCAATACTTACTTAACACATTTCCTAACACTGGTAAGGGAAATGGACCTTTGGGTAAGGCTAGCACTCGTAGATAAAACCGTACCAAATATACGGTAATTAAGCCAATAATAATAGTAATTACCCAGTTGAGGGTGCTAGTATAATAGCCTAGTTCAAACATTTTTGTAATTTGAATGAATTTAATAAACTTAAAACTATGGTTAAATAATTTGGGAAACGTTTTAAAGTTTTAAAGTTTAACATTCAGTTGTGTATAATTAAATATACCATAACATCTACTTATATACGGAAAACAAATTCACATTTGAATTATTATAATTGTTTATACATTTCATTAGATTCAGAAATACAAGTTTTACCTTAGCGTAAACATAAGAGTTAATGTACCAGTATTCAAAACAAATTAATAATTATACTGTACTATCAAGAATTGGTGTACAGTGTTAACCAATTAAAATATCACTGATGAGGTATAAAAGACCTTAAAATACTGAATGAATGTGGAAACAAGGTTAAATATTGATTGTGATAAATCGAGTGCTGATAAATATATTTATATTAAATGCTAGTCCAATGTACAGAAATTATTTTAGATATTAGTATATTTTTACGTCACTAATACCTTAAAGACCTTAACTAATAACAAACATGATTTGATAAGACAATTAATGAATAATGAAAATATAAACATTTATTTTTTACATAAATAGTATTTTATACTCAGTTCTATGTTCAATTAGTATGAACATATAAATATTATATTTATATTTATATTTAAAATATAAAAAGTTATATAAAATAATCTTAAACAATTTTTAAAAAACAAGTAGTACGGTATTAAATGATAATTGTAAAATGATATAAAATTCCGAATTTTAATAAACCAAGAATACAATGGTATTAATAATATGCTAAATATTAACTTTTAATTAATTCTTTACAATAAATATTTCGTAACTCTTGGGAGCCCCGAAAAATAATATACTTGGGTCCAGATCCAAATCAGCCGTACCCCCACCCGATGGCAACGCAAACACATAGTCTTTAGTGGACTTCAATAGGCGGACAGTTATGTAGAAGAGGTCCGCGAGCGCCAGCCTTTCACCCAAACATATACGCCGTCCGATTCCAAAGGGTGTGAACCCCGGGAGGGCTGACATGTATTTGTTGTCCTTATCTAAGAACCTGTTGGGGGAGAAGACATCCGGTTTAGGCCATAGGTTGGGGTCATTAGATATGGCCAATAGGTTTCCAAATACGAACGAATCCTTTTTAATCGTATAATTATCTTAAATGTTATAAAAAATAATAAGAAATTAATTAATTATATACAGTAATTAAAATACGTTTAAGTATTTACTACCCAATTGCATGTCACAGAGGGCTACGTGTGGAATACCTAACGGCGCGACCCCTTTATATCTGAGTGTCTCAGCGATAAAAGCGTTGACATAATGGCAGTCATTCTTGTGGTGATTGTCTGCCACTCTATCGCCGATAATATCATTGATTTCGTGTCTCATTCTTAACTGCATTTCTATATTGTTTGCCATCAATAGTATAATCCATCGCATAGTTAACGCCGTTGTGTCGGAACCCGCTATTCATATATGAATTTATTTTTATAAAAGTAAATAAAAAACATTAATATTTTGCACAAAACCTATGAAGAGATCCATAATAACGAGGGATAGGTTCTGATCGTTGAGATGAAGGGCGGACTCCTTCTCGTCAGCGATGGCCTCCTCTTTGGCTTCAATGAGCGCATCGCAGAAGTCATGGATCTCTCCCTTTGAGTGCACTTTCAGTCGATCCAAATATTTCTGTTTAGCCGATGAAGACAACGCTTTCATTGAATTTAGG